TATTTGTGACAGGAATGAAGCCGCCCCCTCCCTCCCATCCTCAGACAATGTACTGAACACAGACGAACGCCTTTTAAACCGACAGAATGACAGATTTCCACCACAGTCCCTGCCTCTGCTCTCCTATCTAATAAAAAGGGAAAAAAACTAAAGAAATAACTTAAACAAAAGCTCACCAGTGTGCGTATGAGATGCTTTGGAGAGTTGAAGTGTTGTTTGAGGATGGGCTCACAGAAACAGTTCTGACAAGCGAAGCAAATGTAAATAGGTTCCACATGAACCTGAGTGCTGACACACGTCACAACCAGGGGTACACCTACTGTAAACACACACACACACACACACACACACACGCACACACACATAAATAAATAAGAAACTACATTTTTTTCAGTTTAACACCTCAAAAAATACCCAAAATGGTAAGTGCTCACCAACAGCTGGTTGATTTTGATAAAAACTCTCTTTGAGGTACTTGTATAAGCCCAGACTGGGTGTCCGAACTAAAGGGTTAAAGAAATGAGGGTTAAGAGAGAAAGCTGAATGAAAAAATCAATTACAATTTTTAATTACAGCAGACGTGCTCAAACTTTGTACCAAAATACAAATAACTCACATGGTTTCAAGATAAACACATTTATTTATTTCTGTAATATTTTAAATTCATGACTCAAGTGTACCTGGTTGGTCACAACGATCAGGTCTTTCAGCTGCAAGATAGAGGAAAATAATTATATCTTAACAGAGCTTTAATAATATGCAATAATATGCAAAGTGAGAGAAAGGTGAAGATACCTTTGGCAAATATTTTCTCCAACATCTGAGGAAGAATATTAGGAACAGATCTTATGTAAGGTCAGAGTTTGTAACATATCATCAATAATCAGAAATCCTTTTATTTATACTTTCTGTAGGAAGATATGAAAATGTTGAGATACCTCTTTGTGTTTTCCCTGTGAGACGTGTTTGAAATACTGAGCTGTCGTCTTAAAGATCATATTACAGTCCTGCAACAAGGGAGACACAAGGGTGAAACAATAACAGCCAGGCGAAATAGCTAGTAAAATGTTTAATTGTGATATTTATAATTTATTACCTGACAGTATAGTTTGTACAAAAATGCTAAAGGAGCTGCTGACACAGTATGACGCTCTACAAAACATAAAAACAAAGTAGTATTGTTGTACAAATAGATAGTAGTTAAAATACATTATCTTTTCTGGAGTCTATCAAATGTCTGACTACTTTTTATTTCAACTGTTTGAGAATTTACTGTTCATCTATGACAGATACACAGAACGTATTATTTTAACTTTCCCAAGATACTATGCAACACCAAAACAGAGTGATTCATTGTAGTATACTATAATGCTTCTGTAATTAATAGAACAATGATAACCTGCATTTAGTGTACCATACATTTCACACAGCAGACAGTTTCACATAACAACAACCAGCGTTAAGAGCCTCAAACTGATGAGATAATCACTAGACAAAACTAGTTTACACTGAAATCAAACATACCTAGTTTCTTCCCTGGTTTGATGCTCGTAATCAAGCTGCTCTCCTTCTTTTCCTTTGTGATGGATTCCAGCTCCTTCAAAGCTAAAAGCCACCAGAGACTCAATTATTATTACATCATTCAGAGGAATACAACATAAACTGAGGCACAAAGAGTAAATACCAACCTTCTGAATAACAAGTGAAATTCACTGAGTTGAATTTGGCAGGCTCCAGGTTCACTTGCTGCAACACGAAGTCATTCAGTTTCACATTAATATGAACAAAGGACAAACAATTAGGAACCACTAGTGACTTTGTAGACTATATTACCTTAATATCAGCAGTGCCAAGAATCTCCTCTGTCTGCTTGGCAAAATCAAGTATCATGGAGGCTAAAGCCTTGTCCCAATCTTTGTAGCATTCCTTTGACAGCAGAGTAGAGGGGTGCCACGCTTTCTGCAACAGAGATTAAAACTCATGTGAATTACACAAATAGCCCACAGGAAGACAAACTGTACTGATTTCAGTTGTTGTGGATTCATTCAATATCAAAATCAGAACAAAGACTATATTTAAGGTAGATAATGCAGCAAATGCTGGAGTACAGTCAAACTGTTTACGGTTCAATCTAAAGCTGATATTGACATGAACTGAGTGAATCTGCGCTGTAAATTATGTGTTGTTGAGATAAGTAAGTGAATAAGAATATGTTGTGCTGTTCCTGTACTGTAACTCCTGTTGAGATACAGGTGAATGAAGTTATTGTTCTGTTGGCTGCAAGTCAGGGGGGGTGAGGGGTCCAATGTTGTTCCCAGTTCAACCCTGTCCCAATATTTACTGGCCCCAGAGGACTTGACCGGAAAAAATAAGGAAAGTTACTCAGTTCTCTATGGACGGAGGAAAGCTCTGAGAGACCCAGATTGAGCCTGATTTAATGAAATCATCATTTCCTTTTTCAAACGGTGGTGTCCCCGAGGTGAATTCAAGGAAAGTTAAACTGCTACTCAGTATAAATAGTCATCCTTTCTTATAACCCAAAATTTGAGAAAGCTCATAGACCATTTGACTGACCTACGCAGTTAATAAAATCTGCTGTTATTATATATACACACATATTCCCTTTATTCTCTCTACAGAATGTCCGTAATTAATGTGAGGCAAATTACACATATTAAGCATCTGGTCACGTTTGAATATCTTCACAACAATCATGTTCAATTTCTATTGTGTTTGAAAAGTCTGAATATATAACATATAATAACATATAACCTTTACCCGAGTGGACCTTAGCTTAAAGTATCATACATTTAACAGAAACATTCCTGGAATGTATATGTATGTGACTAAAAGGTCTGTTTGGGGTTCAGCAGTGCAAGAAAGGATAATATCTTTGTCAGGAAGTAAAGCTAGAAATCAATGAGAATGCTGCCAAGGCCGATAGCTCGTTGGAAGGTGGTAAATTCAAACAGTGCTTGAGATGAGAATAAGCACAAGAAGTATGAGTTACAAGAAGAAACAGCCTTGGCTGGAGGGGAGGAAAGCATAAACAGAGGAAAAAACAATCCAAGGTATAAAACAGCATCTCTTCAGGTCCACATTGCAAACTAACCTTTGTCTTGCGTACCGTCCTCTGAGCACTAATAAAGTGTGACAATACTGTGAGAGATTTTCTCTCTTTCCTCTATGTCAGAATGGAAAGATATGCCAAATTGCCATATCAGTGCCCATTGGCCTGATCACTGTCTCTCCAGTGTCTTCTTTAAAATCTCTCTTCAAAACTCATTTTATGTCATGGAAAACAACCATGGCTCTCCTCCTATTTTTGCCTGATAACACTTTTTAGAAATATTCTCTCTAATGTCATAGCTACTTACAAAGTAACAGTAGATGTGGTCAAAGCTCAGGACGTGTTTGATGACCATGTGTGTGGCCAAAGTGAGTTTGCAGAGCGTGCAGAGGTAGTATCTCTTCTCGGTCGGTCCGACAGAAACACATTCAACAATGTGCTGCAGGCCTACAAGAGAATCAGAGAAGAAAGAACAGAGGAAGGACATTTTATTAAAAAAAAAAAAAAGGAAAGCTGAGGAAGGCCAAAAAGGTCTGTTGAACTTTGAAAGAATTTCATCTCATTTATTGGTAAAATTCTTCCTTGGATTAATTAATTTTGTTGAATTGGACTATCACTGTAGTAGCACGAGTAGTGAAAAGTAAGTTGTCCTTTAAGAAAGCATTCCTCTAAATGTATTTATCCCTCTGTAGCGTCTCAACCAGAGCTCTACGATACTACTTCATATTTATACCCACAGACCACACAAAAACTGGAGATTGCTTGGAGAAAAGATAATTGTCAAGTTTGTTACTTGATTCTAGGTTTTACTACTATTTCACTTTCCTATAAACTCGGTAAACACAGCCCTGATCAATCCAAACTCCATTCAGAAACAAGCGTTTTAAAAGATGTCCCCCTGTAGATAAAAACATCTCATTCTATGGTAACAAAAACAAACAATTCTTATTTCCAGGTGATTATACACCTATTAATATTATATTTCATGTCTGTTAATAGATGAAGACTGATCTTTTGGGGGAAAAAAAACATTACCAGCAGAATTTTGCATCCAAAAATCTAAATGGTTTTTAAATAGAAAATTTTTTTTATTTTAGGTAAATTTACTGACCAAGAAGTGGATGCTTCCTGTTGCTGTCTCTTTGGTATGTTTGTATCATCATCCTCTTTGGCTTGACAGCTAGAAGGAAAAGAAAGATTATGAAACTATGAAGCATGGAGCATAAAGTATGATAAGAAGGAATAAATGTAAGATATGATCACAGATATACAGTATAAGGTCCATTAGATTTGGATCATATCACATAATTTTCATCAACAGATGGGACTTTTTCCAGTTGTCTTTGAATTGTAGATGTTCAAATTTACATTTTAAAAGCTTAAAAGCATAAGCCAATGTAGAGGAAAAATAAATTATCATTTAGTGAATAACCCTTGTATTAAGTGTGATTCTCTGTGTTATACTGTTTTGAAGAAAGCATGACTGGCTCCATTTCCGCTGAACCCTACTCGAACCCCTGATACTATAAATTAACTGACTTTAATACAATGACCACATTTATGTGCTAAATGATGTAAGGTTGAAATATAGCCTAGCCTGCACATCAAACCTTTTTCATTTTGGTCTGAGACAAGAGCGTGCCTTCATTTGGAAATGCCTTTAATTAATCATTGATGTCTATCCTTTCATTAAATGTAACTATTGACTCTTTGTTCTTATGCATATAAAAACCCTGGTGACGATGTACACAGCATCGATTCCTCGGCAGTCACTGACTGTCACTTTGTTGGTTTCGATCCTTTTGCGCAAAAGCTAAATAAATATACAAAGACAAATTTCTCTTTGTTGGTCTCCCTTATTCGGTCAACTTCCACCACAGCCAATATTGATTATGTTATACAACTGCAACATGGATCAGTTACTAAATGGACCTTGTAGTGAGATGACTGCTGTTTTCAAGATGAAGAATAAACTAAAGTATATATTAACTGGGTTCATCCAAGTAGTACTGTGGTGTATTTTTGCAGCTGCCAAAAGTTGGTCTGTGGATGACTGAAAAAGAAAAGGTCCGCCACTCTTCTTGTTTTGTATAATTTAGGACTTTATTAAACAAAAACAAGTGAGTGTCAGATGCATCTTCTGGCCGAATTTCCCTTCTCTCCCCTCCTTGACATCAAAAGATGAACATGAGACAAGAGATCAACATTTCAGCTTT